CCATATATTTTCCTCCTTCATGAAATAGTGTTGTATCTTCATGTCCCTAAGTTTTTAATAATGTTACTTCATTTAAAACATATTTTTCACATTGACTAGTGTTCATTAGAAGTGACTTCATTATAAGGAGTAACAACAGTTGCTACTAAATCATCCTTATCGTAATCAAAATCGAGCTCATTCGATACTCATGCTTCGCATTGAACACGTTTCCCACAAGTACCAAATACATCATGAGGATAAACAATATCTGATATGACATCAGGACGTGATTCTTCTGAAATATTTTCCTCAAATTTACTGAGAACTTATCAAAGAATAATGGATCGCTAGAAAAATCAGCCTCTATCAAAAGTGAATCAGATTTTCAATCATGATTTCATTCACTCAACATATTCTCCTCAGATTGACAAGAAATCTCATTAGAAATATGTGAATCGTTAGGATATACCATATTTGGTGTGTAAAGGTAAATAAACCTCCAAAATAAATTACTCTGTAAATCTTCGACACTGGATGCTGACCACATTAGTTTTAATGGACTCACCTGGCTGAAGGCTCTCGTTCATGCATCCGCACCGGGGCACGAGTGGGAACACCATGCTCAACTCATGCAATCGCTAGCCAGTTTGGATCAATCGCTTCTCGATATACCAATATCCTATCAAACGTATCACCGAGCCTCCTTGCTTCCGACATTTGACTTGAATATGTGGGCACGATTCGTAGTAGGTGTTACCGGTTAAAACGTTGTAAAACTCCAAATCCTGTGACATCAGGTGCAATAGCATGAAAACTCCGACAATAAGTTAATTAACTACAAGCATTTGTTTCACAATAACTTTGAAATTCATTCAACTCTGGACAACTCTATGACTTTGTAGTGACCTACTTTTATTAAAAGAACGCGATTGGTATAATGAAAACAATTAATATTACAATTAATTGTGCCAGTGATTGTTTTACTGTACCCGTTTGTTTAACTGTACCGAAATCCTACATTCTTCCGTTGATTGTGACCTTGCACGAACTCGGTCACGCCCAGTAACCCCATTTGCAAAATTTGGCACGATCTCGGTATTATTTCAATACCACGAGATCGCCAACAAATATTTCTCTACTACAGCCATCAACTGCCTTCTGATACTTGGCCTACGGGGGGTCTGACGCATAAACTGGCATGTAGTCTTCCTGTAGTGGTGATCAAAGTCGACCGCGAATCGATACCACACTACAACTTTACGCTGTTTCTCTAAGTCGCGGATAAAGATGATCGATCGTTAGAAACACACAACTTATTGTATCGAAAAGAGTAGTAGTATAAGAAACTGCCTGTGTGTGTCTAATCATACCGCACTTCAAGCATTTACAATTACGAAATACGCATAAATTACATGGGTGAAACTTACCACAGAACAAGCGCTTACCAAACTTGTGGTTATCTTCGTGACCTGCTTCGCAACTTCTCAATGAATAATCTTGATTACGCATTGGACTGGTATGATGTATCAATGTGGTAGAACTCCTGATGTCCTGACGAATCGTTTCTTCACTGTATTCGAAGTTGTGTACACTTTACATGGTCTGAAAGTTAGTTGAGAGTTGCATAAGGGAGTGAAATCGGCTTTTCTGGGATCGCCAAACTGTAGGCTTCTTTTCTTATGAATGTAAGGTAATGAACCACAATATTAACATCCTGAACATCTTCCTTGTCAACAGTTCAGGTGACTAAGTCAAAGATGTAAATTTACTGGGGTAAGGACAAGTTGATTAATGTCTCTTGCTAGATACGTAATTCTGGTCTGAGCTTTTTATTGCTACTACTCTGGCAAACCGAAGAAACACCGTGTATCTTCGTCTTGTGTTAACTCCGGAAGATCTCAGTTATTGTAGGGAGATACCTGGTATGTCGAGTTATTGAACTACTTAAGGCTATTTCGACTCTCAACCTCAAATTCTTCCGAACGAGGTCCGGAAGGTTAACATATTTTTCTTCTCTGTTCTACCAATGTATGTGCTTTAGTACGTACAAGTTAATCGGTAAATATGAATGCAAGTATTGATAAAAGAGGGCCTATCCAGCAGAATTTATTTAAACTACAACGTCTTCTGTCCAATAAGCTGCCACAAGGGGATCTCATGAACCCTTTTTTGGACACACTAGTAAACTCTGCGTGAAGGAAAACCTTAAAGAAAAGCATGCTTTCACTAATACATGTACTCGTGAAAACCTATATTCGCCGAAATTCATAGAGAATTATACCGAAACCAAAGGTTATGTTGAATACAATTCAGGTGAAAATAAAACCCGCGATTACTTCAGGAGGAACATTGCCCTCCTGGAATATGTACACAGACAAGTACTCAAAAGTGTGATCGAACTAAAAAGTAAACCCAATTAACTTGATGAACTCCTCACCGAAGATGATAAAGAAGATACTTTACGCAGAACCTTTCAAAAGGAGGCCAGACTTTTACGTCAGTTCCGTATGTACAGAGAATGGTTAGTCCAAGTGTTGCTTGCCGATCAGTTTCGCTACTAACTATTAACTTATTATACACCTTGGATCCAGAATTGATATGATTAGGACCACACTATTTCATTATCAAGAGTGCTTCAATGCCACGAAGATGCATATGGCGAGTGATAATAGTTCGCTACTTCTGCCACGTGCTGTTTGAATCTATTGTCACACCAACGACATGAAGTATCCAGTTTCAACTGCCAGATCAGAATATCCACCCCTCCGGAAGCCTTGTGCACTCAGTCCCTATATTGTCTCACATTCGACTTTTAGTCTGCCGAATAAACCGCACGGTAATAGCATTTCTACCAGTACCTACTCTATCATGACAAAGACGACTAGTAGAGGTTCTAATGCATGGGGCTAATAATAATTTAAAAATCCCTTTTATCTGTCAACAAGCTTATAAGCAAATCTAAAATGACACAAGGTGACGAAACGTATAGCATTGTATACAGCATTGATTGTTCAACTCGGGTATCATAAACGAGTATCCAACTAATCACCCAAACCACACTCATACCTGGATTTCTACTCTTAGTCAGAGCAGTAAGCAATGACAAATTAGAAGGAAAGGACGTCACATACTCGGGTTAACACAGTCTACTGGGAAAACAAGACGGTAAAACGGTGGCGACTCAGCATTCAAATGCAGTTTGCGTGATAGCTGGGCTCACCGTTATTGTAATTTTTCGGTTCCTAGGCAATACGACGGGTTTATGCCAATAGTGTCGAAGGTAATAGAGGGACCAGTCGATGAACATTTGAGAGAATACATGTATGAAAACAACATTATCCATGGACCCAACACAGGCTTAGTAAATGCAAGACCTGTGTGTTGAATCTCCTTATAACATGGGACAGTTGGTCGACCTTCTTGTAGTAAGGAAAACCGATCCGTGTAATATTCCCTAATTTCACAGAGTCTTTGACACTGTCACATGTACTCCTTATAAGGAAGATTGCGACAATGGGTTTCACTAACCCACTTCCGTTTTGGTAACGAAACCAGCCAAAAAACAGAATGTTCTGGACATAGGTGAATGGAGTGCACATCAGCTGCAGGTTTTTGAAACCAAGAGTTCCACAAAAGACAGTCTCTGACCTACCTCTGCTTGCGATCTTCAACAACGACCCTTTAGCTCAGTAGCATTACCCTACACGGACTACTCAAAGATATGGACACCCACAAGAGGTGAAGGGAACTCATTTGAGCTCATCAAGATTGTGAAAATAACCTGTAATTGAGCAGTGGATATTGGGTTGAAAATCAACCTGTTGAAATGTCACATCATGGACGTTTTGCACCTGTGACATAGAGGACTATGTCCTCCGTGGAAATCCACTTCCAGCTGTCTCTTCAGAGTACGATCCTAGGCTGGTAACCTTGGAAAGCTTGTACACTAGTTCAAACTACATAGCGGAGGTAACCAAAGCAAACCCAACTCTTCAGTTTGTAAGAAGACAATCATCTCAAAATTGTTCTTAACTCTTTATAACGTACTTACAGCGCCATTGGGAAGTCCACTATACTGTCTCTCCACTTCTCTCCAAGAGAGACATAAGTCTCTTAGGAACAGTGTAAAGACTGGCAATTAAGTGGATAACAGAGCTAAAGAGTAAATCTTACGAAGACAGACTTCAACAAGTCGGATTATCCTCTCTGAGCTACGAAAGAATGAAGGGTGACTTGATATTAGCAGGTGATGTACTAAGTACGCCAAATCACGCCAGATACGAGTATCCTACCAGGAAACCAACATCACACCCCTTAAGACAACCCTCAAAAGACTGCACATCAAAGTGTGAAAACCAAGTTACGCTACCACTTTTTCACAGCCGAAGTGCCCACGGCCCCCACAATGGATAACTTCAAGAAGAGACTTGACAAATATTTACGCGCTTATGGACTACCATCTCTCGCTTAGACCAGGTGTGCCTCACCTGAAGTTATCGTTGTAACACAAAACTAACGTATTCTTAACTCGCTTACCACCATCGCTGTTTCCCATTTTTATCCTTATAATTCCTATATTGCATACCGTATGTCTTACCAGGTAATTAAGTTACTTATTTATCTGTTTGCTTATTATTTCTTGGAACAATCGTCTCCTCTAAGCATTCTAGTTCTTTCCATTGTCAATTTTCACATTAAGACCAACCGATCTTTTGCCTGGTAACATGATGGCTGCTGGTATCCAGAATTCCTACAGCCCTGAGACAAACCCACTCAAAGTTTAAACTACACATTTTGATAAATAACTAGTGAACTAACTAGAATTATTCCAGTCGAGTGATTAGACTACTAACCGTTGGGCATTACGGAAAACCTGGAACCGTGCAGAAACTACAAGAAGTGATCCTAAAGAAATCAATCGGTCTACACAAGCTCTTAACAAAGGTAGTAGGTATTAACTGTTATCTTCACTTCACTTCTCTGAACTATACTTTATTCCTCAACAAACCAATTTTAATCTCAGTAATGTGGCAGTTGTTGATCTTAGCAACCCTACAACCCTAGAACAAACCCACACATTTATATCCAAGAGAAATTAATCCCTTATCAGCTATCAAATCCATTGGGGTTAGTGCAGTCGAATGGCTGGAATATCCACATTGGATGATACTAAAGGCTTGAGACCGTAGAGTAACATCAGGAAGCGGGCGCAAGGTAACCAGAATTTTCAAGCTGGATATAAAGATATTGGATATGGGCCTTTTGTTCACCCGCCCGATATGTTCATACTGTTTACAGTTTGGCGTAAATGCATTGTGACGAATTTAAGATGTCATACTAGCTTTCCTAGTTGTGATTGTCGAATTGACTTTGGTACATGCTGTTATTGATTGCTATCAGTTGTTTTCACTTATAAATGTAAGTGCATTCTACGAAATAGCTGAGTCGTTGGTTCACTTTTTTGTCCTATTCTCAGATTTCCCCACACACACTGCTCTAAACACTTCCCTAAAACCCAGATTATTTAAGGCTAAACACGAACCAATATAGCATATTATAGTATTTCTTATAGTGGATTTGGGCTTGGTTTGTAATATATACTATAAAGGCTTCTTCACTGGGACAGTCACCGAAGCGCTCATGACTAAACCTTCAGACCAAAATTGCCACATGGATACGAGAATTCAAATATCTAGGTTCGTATGTGACAATTTTCACATAGTATATGCACATCATAATACAGAGAGCGTTTACTAATAACTTTGGGAGAATCATTAGTTGGCTGTGTTATGACTTAATTCTTAATATCTTACGAAAATACCAGAGACTACGAAAGGACGGTTTACGTGGCTTGTGGTATTCCTGTGGAAAAACCCCTTTCGTAAAGTGGACCTTAACTCACCCATGGTTCACGTAAAAATGGGCTGATATATTCAATCGTCTCTGCTTACTGATATCTAAAACTATCTACTTATCTATACCTTATACGTCGTGCATAAAGAACGAATTAAGGTTACGAAGTAATCTGTATTTTTACTTGCTATAATTATGTTATTTTGGTCTAGGTACAAAGATGTGCTTAGCATTGCACAACCTCTTTACTATATCGAAAATGACCTCCAATACTAGTCAGCATATAAGATCCCTCTGTAAACTCAGTTGTAAAACGTTCATCAGAGCGTTCCATAGTTTTGGGCGGTTACTGATGTTCCGACGACTGGTAGTGTCCCAGAACTTTTGTTTCGTATTAAAATTAGGCTTATCCATTTCTAAGGGCAGTGTCAACTGGCCATATAGGCCGCTGGAGTTATTCTCAAGCCAGTACATTAGCTATTAAGCTAATCCATCTTCCAACTAAAGGTTTTTGCATTTATCCAATTCACGAGATCTGAGTACTCAGTCCAACAAAATAGCATTTATCTCGATAACTGAAACTTATCAAGCTAAAACATTTTACGATGACATATCGTAGTTAGCTAAATAAAATTCAGCTCTGTCCCTTTACGTTTTCTGTAGTTGTTTATGTACTGCATTAGGCTCCGAAGATAGAAAATAACATCAGTGGCAGATACAATCTATCTGTCTGAGTATTCTCTGTTGGACAATTCAGTGACAGGCAAAAACAAAAGTAAGGAATGTTTATAACAGTGATAATACAGAACTAAAAATCAGGTGAAATAGCATCAGAAAATGGTAAAATTATTTACAGACTTTATTTGACCTAAACACAAACATTGGTACAAGGAGGCACCAAAGTGATATGCACCACATAAGTCATTCGATTTGTGTGAGGGCTGGGATATTGTCTGGGTGCCCAAACCAAAGCAAGTGGGTTTCTTACGGGAACACTTCCCGAGCCTTTGAAATAAAGGTCTAATCCACAAGACAGTGGAGCGAAGTTAGAAGATGCAGTCCCGTGGTAGCCGGTGACCAACAATAGGTTCATACGCTTTTTGTTCCATCGGAATCCTGGAGCCCATCCACTCCATTGGTCTGAAATAAGTGTTTTCCAACTCCCCTAGGTGGATCCTCCGTACCCACCGATCCGGTTCAAGCCCCAAACATTCTCTTGTTGTCCTCTCAATTTCGTAAACAACACCGCTGTTGCGAGTAGGTAGTGAGTAGGACTTCCTTGGCAGTAGTTGTATGCACGTGGCCATGCGAGGTTATTTGGAGATGGAGAGCTTATTCTCCCCACTCTCGGTCGTATCAGGGCATTTGGGGGCTATTTACAGACTGATAAAATATTAACTGCTTTAAAATTGTGAATGATGCTATGTAGACCAGTGCAATCAATTTTTATCCCAGCTGCAGAGACTTTTAATAACTTTAGCAGTCTCATATATACATCCAGAAAATCCAGTAACTAAAACTGCTAAAACCCTACAAATTGGTCTCAGTCAACCTTACATACCTATATACACAGATATGGATTACTTAATCTGCTACACACGCGTGTCACATTTGCTACATTCCTTTTTCCAACACATACATGACAATTTACGTTCACAAATTTCATCATTCCCTGTAATTTACACTGTCGATTCGTGTTCGTGTTCATGTTGATCTTAAGAATGTACACTATTGGTTGCCTCGGTGCTCACTAAAGTCATAAACGCTTGACATCAAAGACAGTTTGAATAGCCTTTATCCTACCTCAAATTGTTCAGTAACGCAGTAATTCTAAGATATGAGTCGCTCATCAATGAGTGTAAAACTTCCAGATAGTTCAGAGTTTGATTGAATCGAGCGAAATGCTCTTAGCTAATATCTCTCTGGAAGGCTGAATAATGGCATACAACAGTGTGAAGATATTCACTTTCTAGTTGAATGTACAAAATCTGTTCTTATCATTATGGCATTTTTTATGAGTAATTTAAGGCTTTTTTCAAATATTCTAACATAAATATGTAACTATACAGAAGTTATCGTCGTAGAATTATACCTACTTCATTTGAATTTTCAGGTGTCATTGTCAGATTGCTTATATTTCTCACTCCTATCAAAACAAAACTACAACTTGATTTCTTCCATTCATTAGAACATTGGAAACCACCTTACTTAACTATCAAGTTGAGTACACTCTCAATGGACTTTATATTGAAACCAGTTATTTCATGTAAGTCATTCGAAATATGAATTTCTCCACTAAACAACTGGTTAATATTATATTCCCAGAATTTTGTTACATTTGTTTCAAAGACTAACTTTTCAATTGATGTTTATTTTATAAATCACCTGAAGTAGAACTCACTATACTGTTTGTTTGCTTGCTAATTATATAATTTGTCTGTAATTTTAATGTTGTATTTCATCAGCAGTTAATTTTAGCCGGTAAACCTGTAGAGATCAAAATTTTGATAGATTTATTTTGAAATTTATCTTATTCTCATTGGTTTCACAATAGAGTCTAAATAGACTAGTGAAATGCTATAACATAAGCAGTGTAGCCGGAACTTGTATCATTGTGTAAGATGGAAATATTGCAATGTTCCTCTTTTCTACAATATAGAGTTCGACACTAAGTAATATGGAAATACAAATAAATAAAACAGTAAAAGTAGTATAAAGTTTGAAATACAGATTCAGTAAGAAGTCTAAACCCTTACTGAATCATGGTTTCTACTATGTTCAGGCATCTTAATATATCACAACGTTACCATTTTGTTAACGTAGGTTCGTGTACTTCTCAAACCTTAACACTTGCACCTAGGATTCATGAAGCCAGTGTAAGTACTATTCATAGGACAAACCTTTAATAATCGGTCCTTGCATGTGTGTGAAGGTAGTATCACTGCAGTTGCTTGTTACTTGTGAAGAAGACCACGCTGCCGCCATTTTCCGCTACAACTTCACCGTCGGAATCGAAACGTGTTGCTTCTTCAAGAAACCACAAGAAGTGTTTGGTTAGGTCATGGCGATGATTAACCCCATCTAGTTCTTTAAGACGGTAGCTGTTTTCGGATCAGATTTTCATGAGTGTTGCTTGAGCTTTGTTGGAAAGGATGTCATTATTTTGTCATCGTTCATTTAAATTAATTTCAACTCATAAATACCTAGAGATCTATATTTATTTTAAATTTAGGTGCTGGTGATGAAAATCTTTTGCCTTATTTCGAAAGCCGATGTTTATCGACTTTGGGGAGTCAGCAGGTGGTATGGAAGCATCCCAAACTGTCAATGGTTCATTCTGTACGATTGGGAGCATGTTTTACAAGATTTCGTGTTAGCCAGTTACAGTCTAACGTCAAAGTTTTATCAAGTGGAAGACCTATTCGACCTGTCGGTACATTTCAACCATTACTTTATATTTATGTGACTTCAAATGTAAGTAACAATCACTGTTTTTATTCTATTTATTTATTGTGATTCGCCTAACTTGAGTGGCTTTAGTAATTGCCCTAGTCGAAGCCTAAAAAATTATTAAAAACCTAACTGATACAAATCTTTTAATGTGTTTAGTTGATCATGTTTAACTACATTTTAAGTGTGCCTGGGGATGCATTTTCGGTAGTGGGATGAATATTTGTTGACGTATGGGGTTGATAAAATGTGAATGTGCTCTACGTCTAATTAGATATCAAATCATATGACCGTTTGATTAATTAAGTGGATAGGTCATAGTAAAGTATTCCGGTTCATTAACTTAAAATTCCTCTTTTATTCGCATAGAGAAGAGTGAATACTAAGTTCAAAGGTAAATATATGATTTTTAACTCAAGTATTACTCTCTTTTGTACATCTTAGTTTCTAAGAATGTAATACACTTTAAAGTGCAAAGAGAGATTTTAATCAGCTAAATCACGTAGTTATCCCACTAAAGTTGTATATAAACCTTTCTTTCTAGTTTTAGTAGGCTCAGTTAACTAATCACACATCTAAAGTGTTGGTGACCTAATGGTGATATCGAGGCAATCCTCACTGGGTGCACATATGCCAAGAGAGACTAACCAGTTGTAGTCTTAAACATCACTGGGAAGATTCGAATAACCAATACAAATGAAAATGTTTTGTTTGAAAAAAACTTTATCGTTTTGTTGGTTTAATGATGGACAACAAAATCTTACGGAATATCCGAACTGTATTAGTGATTACTAACAAGTTTTCTATTAAGATTCAAAAACCCTTTCCAACTTTTGGCCTTGGTTATTTGTACATATTCTAGCTGAATGTCATATGTGTTGTACATTACCGATCATATGTTGCGAATGTTCAGTTAGTGTTTATCTCGTAATGTATTATCATTTACAGTAAATCCCTAATAGTTATATGATTAAGTTGTATCATTCTATGAAGTAATTGACTGTAACTGGAACAGAATGTATGGAAGTATATATTTTCTGATCCATTTTTACTAGACAGTAGAAAGACTAATGATGGAATAAATTAGTTGATGGCAATTGGCGGTAGTCAACAGTAAACCTTGGACTAGTGATTACATTGCAACTCAATCAATGCAATTCAATAAATAATAATAAGAATTTAACATACACGATATTGTTCACTATTCAACCAACTGTAAATTATTTGATGTATGACTAAAGATAAGTGGAACTGTTCTGCTATAATGCATTCTGACTGCTGACTATTTTACTTTTTAATATTCTGCTATCCATAATCTCTTCCCTTCCATTTTTTGATTCTGGCTTTTTTGATGATTCTTTTCCTCAGTCGAAGATTTCTGTGGTCTATTTATATGGTAGAGTTTTACGGATGGATAAAAAAATTTGGATACTCTGAACTATTCACGTTCAAAACTCCAGATTTGAATTCTAAAAAGTGAACTACCAACACATTAATGTGGATGTATGTTGTCAAAAGGATAATGTATGCTTCGAACTTCAAATATGTCATTATTTTTAATACTGTTATCATACACTGTTTTTGTTACTAAATGTTCAACAATTAACTAGAACTTTGATGTTTTTCGATTTCTCATTGAATATTTTAGGATGTTTCTCATTATACATCACATGGTGGACGGAATGCTATCGGTAGTTGGTTAGGCCATTTACGTGCCAGAAATGTATTTGACTGGCTTATTATTATGGTTAATTCTGATCCACAATATAACACACCAAAAATTCTACAAAAATCAAATGTACTTGACAAAATTAGAAGTGATTTTAACGTTCGTACAGGCGACCGGTAAGTCTTCTGATTGATGTTTTTCACTTTGTTTAATGTGTTATATCCAATTACTCAATATGTTAATTTCGAAGGAAAAAATATTTGAAATTAAAGTATTGGGTGTTCTATTTTTTTCTAAAACTCATCAGTTATACCGTTCCCTGTGATTATCCCTCTTGATGTCAGGTGAACACATACTATTTTTCGAACGTTGATTCTATCAGTTAACACCTGCAATATCAGAACGCTCATAAGTATAATGATATTCGATTTACCAGTTTAAGATTCTGAAACCGTAAGATTATACTGCAGTCCATATTGTGTGTATATCTCATCTTGGATTATATTGGTCAAATGTGTATTCCATTTGCTGTCTTGTTATAGGACTGTGGAAATGTACAAAAGCCTGGTAATTGTATAGTTCTGTAGTATTTCGTGTGTAACGATAGATAAGAGTAATATGCTGGTTGCGTAGTGTCAAAAAAGACACCGGATTTTTTTGTATTGAATAGAAATGATTCAGAAATGTTGCTGAGTTTTAATAACGGTCGATCAACCTCTGTTGCCATACATGTATCCTCAGCGAATCGTCTGTAAATTGTCTTTTTGGTATAGGACAAAAAACTTATCATGGGCTTTACTGCCAGCCACAGTTCAAATATACTGCCCCCAAATGTCCTGGTACAGCCGAGAGTGGGGAGAATAAGCTCTCCATCTCCAAATAACCTCGCATGGCCACGTGCATACAACTACTGCCAAGGAAGTCCTACTCACTACCTACTCGCAACAGCGGTGTTGTTTACGAAATTGAGAGGACAACAAGAGAATGTTTGGGGCTTGAACCGGATCGGTGGGTACGGAGGATCCACCTAGGGGAGTTGGAAAACACTTATTTCAGACCAATGGAGTGGATGGGCTCCAGGATTCCGATGGAACAAAAAGCGTATGAACCTATTGTTGGTCACCGGCTACCACGGGACTGCATCTTCTAACTTCGCTCCACTGTCTTGTGGATTAGACCTTTATTTCAAAGGCTCGGGAAGTGTTCCCGTAAGAAACCCACTTGCTTTGGTTTGGGCACCCAGACAATATCCCAGCCCTCACACAAATCGAATGACTTATGTGGTGCATATCACTTTGGTGCCTCCTTGTATCAATATCCATGTGTTTAAATAAATAAAATAAAATAATAGTTCAAATATACTAAAATATTTGTGCTTATTTCCATATTTCCTTGATTATCGGTCTACCTTATCTGTTGCTATTATTATTATTATTATTATTATTATTATTATTATTATTATTATTATTATTATTATTAGTAGTAGTAGTAGTAGTAGTAGTAGTAGTAGTAGTAGTAGTAGTAGTAGTAGTAGTAGTGGTAGTAGTGGTAGTAGTAGTAGTAGTAGTGGTGGTAGTAGTGGTAGTAGTAGTGGTAGTAGTGGTAGTAGTAGTAGTACTGGTAGTAGTGGTAGTAGTGGTAGTAGTAGTGGTAGTAGTAGTGGTAGTAGTGGTAGTTGTAGTGGTGGTGGTAGTAGTAGTGGTAGTAGTGGTATTAGTAGTAGTAGTGGTAGTAGTAGTGGTGGTGGTAGTAGTGGTAGTAGTGGTATTAGTAGTAGTAGTGGTAGTAGTAGTAGTAGTGGTAGTACTGGTAGTAGTGGTAGTAGTGGTAGTAGTGGTGGTACTGGTAGTAGTGGTAGTAGTGGTAGTAGTGGTAGTAGTAGTGGTAGTAGTGGTATTAGTAGTAGTAGTGGTAGTAGTAGTAGTAGTGGTAGTACTGGTAGTAGTGGTAGTAGTGGTAGTAGTGGTGGTACTGGTAGTAGTGGTAGTACTGGTAGTAGTGGTAGTAGTAGTAGTAGTGGTAGTAGTACTGGTAGTGGTGGTAGTAGTAGTAGTAGTAGTGGTGGTAGTAGTGGTAGTAGTAGTGGTAGTAGTGGTATTAGTAGTAGTAGTGGTAGTAGTAGTAGTAGTGGTAGTAGTAGTGGTAGTACTGGTAGTAGTGGTAGTAGTGGTAGTAGTAGTAGTAGTAGTGGTAGTAGTAGTGGTAGTAGTGGTAGTAGTGGTAGTAGTAGTGGTAGTAGTAGTGGTAGTAGTGGTAGTAGTAGTAGTGGTGGTAGTAGTAGTAGTGATATTATTATTATTATTATTATTATTGTTGTTATTATTATTATTATTATTATTATTATTAATGGCTTTATTCAATATTATCTCATGTACGGTGAAGTAATCAGTAACATCACTTCAAATTGTTTGACTAAATAGGTATATAAATCAACATTCCAATTTCTCCAATTCGAGACATTAAACATATATTGAGAACTTTATTGGATCTTTGACCTGAATTGTCATAAGGTTTTCCTTGCCAACATCGCATGATATATGTATTGTTTACGTTCTTGAAATTTAGTAAATCAGTCATTGAGAACTTTTGTATATAGACATACTGAGACGTAAAATGGATATCCAGAGATCAGCATTATTTGAATCCAATCCACATATTTATGTTAAAGTTACTACTCAGCTGTATTCGATTGACTAGGCACCTTGTTTGTTTGGTGCTTTCATTAACCATTTTGCTTCGAATCACTTTTGTAAACCGAATTTATTGCTATTCTCAACCCAAAGAATCTGACTATTTTTTTAATTCTTCATCTCACGTAAGCTTGTTTTTACTTGACTACTTGCTTAGATAATCAGTTTATCAAAGCAAACATATATTAATATGATATAATCCATGTATACAGTTTTGATATCTTTTAAAGACAATTTTTAGAAGTACCAGCACCTAACTCAACTGAAGAAAAACTATTCAATGAATCATGGAATCAGTTAACTTATCTTGTTCGTAAATCTATCATATCGGCTTGTATGTCAATTATTGCTGATTATGATATACATTTACAAATGCTGACCGATTCATGTTCAACCTTTACATGGGATTATTTTGAGTATTTAGATAGAAAGGTAATGACGATTATTGTGAAATTATACTATGATGATGAGTTTAAGTCAACTAATCAGATTGAAGATAACGGTTTTTGAAATTAGGCACGAAATTTAAAGCACAATCACGAATAGCCTATTACTCAAAGCAATAGTGTTCGACTATATTTCATATTTTGACTGATTTTGAAGGGGATGTGATTGTATTGAAATTGGTTAGACCGTTATCCGTAAAAAGGGTATAATAGAGGTAGAAATGTAAAAGTAGATTGGGCAAGTAGTAATTTCTTTAATTTAATTAACTGGTTTTCGAAATATGGGATAGGACGTTGCAGAAAGGTTATTTTGAGTATACTCCAAATAGAGTGACGTTAATTCTCACATCCATTACTAGAAGTTATATCCGGCTTGAAACAATGAAGAACATGGGCTATCAGATCTGTAGAAATGTTTTGGTTGTCTAAAGGCTCTATAGGAAGAATGCTATGAAGTCATATAGACGAATTCCTATATCGTTCTTACTATGAATTCAATCCTAATGAACTTAAACTTAAGCTGAATATATTCACTGATCTTGTGGAAACTCTCTATGTATATTTTACTATTTCTGATTTTTTGTGGTTAATACTTCATTGTTATCACCTGCATTTTAATCGGGCTCAATCCGCTTTTACTTTTCTACCTCTGTTATATCTTTTTTACGGATAATGGTTCCATCAATTTCAATACAATCACATCCCCTTCAAAATCAGTCAACATACGAAATATAGTCAAACACCATTGCTTTGAGTAATAAGCTCATTCGTAATTGTGTTTTAAATTTAGTGTCGAATTTCAAAAATCGTTATCTTCCATCTGATTAGTCGACTTAAACTCATCAGTCTCGTATTGTTTTACCTAATGTTTCTACGTATCTCCTCATTTATATTTTTATTTTACACAGTTGTTATTGTTATTTTCTATTACTATACTAATGTGAAAATTGAATTAATTTCTGTATGAATAAATAGGAATTATTCTAATAAGTAAATACTTCTTGTATTTACCATTTATCCCTGTTATTATTCATTAGTAGTAACTTGGATTAACTAGAAATGACTAGTTCAATTGAAATGTTTCTTCTACTTTTTCCATAGATTATTAATACTATTACTAAAAATTGTTTTGAATTATTTCTCCCTTCCCCCCCCACAGATATCTATTTTGTCATAGTGTTTAAATTAAGTATGCTCATTTTCCCAATATCTGATAAAATTCTATCTTGGATTCATAAATTTACTTGGAAGTGATAGTGTTTACCATATACATATAATTTGCGTTAATTATTAAATTAATATCAATTTATGTTTTAAAGCATACCTATTTATATTTTATATTCTTTAACAATTACACAGGAAGAATTAGCGCATATGTATTTGTTTCTTGGTGGACATGAACATGCTTTACATGAGTATCGTGAAGCAACCGAATTACTTTCTAAATGTATTCAAGAGTCAACACAACTAGGTAAGCAATTTTTTGTTTAAATTTTCAATAGTTTCCTGGTGTTTTTTTATAGTTAGATATGTTTATCTGTCAAAAGGATATTAAAACAGTATTGTGATGTTTACTGATAGATCTGTTAACATTTTATTTATCAAATAATCTGAATCTAATTTTATATTAGTTAACGTATTTATTTAAACAAATATATATAAATTCAAACAAAAATGTAAGCAGTACGAATTGCCGAAAAGTGAAACGAATTGTAATCTTAACTTGTATCTACACTGTTCATGATTAAGATGAATCTCAAGAGACAAAATAATGTAATAAATGAACTAAAACTGATTTATCTTCAATACGAAATACAATAATGTTAAACTGGGCACTCGATCCATACATTAGGTAGTTAGTCTTAATTCACGTATATATTAGTTGTTCAATACCTCCTATTGATGTTCAGGACTGCAATTGATCAGTCTTTTTCGGAATATGTGCATTCTGTATGGACCGTTTCGATGTTGCCAGTAGGTCACAAGCATTTTTGGGCAGAGATGGACGGTGGATAACAGTGGATGTGATTTTCGCCTTGTTTTGGACTCGTCAGCCGGATGTATCTGCATCCCAGAGTTTGTGTTCACTCCAGGACTTGAACCCAATACCCTTCACTTCAAACTCCATTGCGTTATATACTGACCAATTGTAAATCCAGCTGCTTAAAACGAAATTCTTAGTAAAAACTACACTTCAGTATGTAGTACTGATCCACTAAATAAACTGGAAAAATCACTACCAATGCTTGGCACAACACAATAAGTAATCATTGAACATGTTGCAGATTATCCCAGTTCACTTGTAGATTAAACAATTTTAAAAGTATCAAATCCTTTTTGTTGATTTTCACAATCTCATGAATTTCTGTCTGCATCTATCATTCTATTCAGGATCTAAACGTCCTCAATGGTTAGATCGATTAACACAATTATCATCATCGGATGAAGTATCACATTATGTGTGTGATTATTCTTTAGATGTGACTAATACAGAAATAAAACAGTCTAGTCGTTTAAAAACCCGTAACGCTACATTATTCGAATTGAAAAATTACCTTTTATCCAGACAAGCATCAATATTATGTATATGTGATCGATTAAATGAATTCCCTGCGTTTGCTTATCATACCATTTGTTCTACATTGACTGAAATAAACATATTAGATGTAAGTAAATTCTTATTCTAACGATATAATAATTTCCGATATATATATATATATATATATATATATATATATATATCAGCCAAGACCTGACATGTCATATCCTTTTTCAAGACTACGTAGTATTTAAAAGTCAAGCGAGTACGGACCGTTGTGAGTTATTCATCTACACATGGTCGCTACCTACATATACTTGATTTGCAAGCATAAGTGTTCGGGCCTTGGCAAGAAAATTTCCTATTCAGTTATGATCTTTTTTGCATAGCTAAACTGATTAAGTATAATGTGTAGCACACAACGTTTGTTAGTTTATACATAAGTCGAGTTGCATTGATGTGCATATCTGGCACGATACTAAATTTCTTATCCATAAAAATTCAAGAACTTTAACAAATGAATATCTGCAAATATGTTTAAGTTGTAGGTCTTCTGATTATTTCGCTCTATTATTAAAGGGTCACTTAGATATATTATGTATTCAGTATAGTTGAAATAAGATCCAAGAAAAATGCGAAAGACAAATCGATATACATGTGATATTCAGTTTCTATTAAACAAAAAAGGAGAAGGCATGTAATAAACGAATATAACTGCCATGGAAATGTTTATTTTCTGCTTTAAATCCAATCTATTCTCTCTTCAATGTTCAATTTTCTCTTACTAGTTATTTTCACTTAATACAATGGCAAAACGCTCAGCCAAAGTTTAAACAACATTATAAAATAATACTAACCTCTTCATTTTTGTGATTGGCTAATAACTAAGTAGTGATCAATGTCATGTTTGTTTAATCCCTTAGTGCTGAGCGTATGTTGTTGATCGAGTTGCCAAGTCACTCACCAGATAGCTTAGTGGTAACGTCTCGAAGTGTGAGGCTACAGAACACGGGTCCTAATCCTTCAGGAAATATCAGTTCTCTCAACATCGCATGTACATCTCGCTGACGAGTATCATCTATCACGAAACCTAGGTTTAAGGTTTTCTCCTGACTACTTCCAACTAACTAACATATTGATTTCTTGATAACTGTCGAATAGTGTTTGATTTGTCACTTGTCACTAATATTTATCTCACTAGTGTCATTAGTATATCAAGAAAATCATCTGTATAATAACTGTATCTTCAGCCAACTTATTTTTTCTCACTGTTTGTTTGATATGATTAATCTTAGTTAAAAAATTACTTAGTAAAACACCAATCATGTTAATAAATCGTTTTATTACTTTTTTTCCCGATTTTTGTAAAAAAAATTCGTTTACTTTTGAAAAGTAGATTCAAATGGATAATTTATTTCGCGCTGTTTGGATTCTGTGTATTTGTTTAAATACACTGACAAATATCCGACTAGATTCAGATCGTTCAATGGATGATGTTAATAAATCAATTATTGAATTATTGGATACAGCTTTTTCATGCAATAATATTTTAGAGAATATTAATTTTACACGCCTTTCGAAGTTATCATTTAATAGGCAGTTGTTGTCGTCGTCATCATCATCTTCATCACCGACCATAACAACACAAAGTGTATTTATCGATGCTAACAAAGATTCAAATGTTACTATTTGGTATATGAGTCATTTAGTTGATAAAATTTTTACACATTTTCGTTGTTATGAATATCCATTATTACGTAATACTTCTCATTTATCACCTATCAATAATGTTACTAGTTCATCAACAGAAAATTCATCAATAATCCATAAATTTTCATTCAATAAAATCAATAATGATAAAGATATATTTTGTTCAGAAAATTATTCTATTGAATTATGGTTAATTGTATTTAATTATATAAAACAAATTGGACAATTCATTGGTTTATGGTGTATCAAATCGAATTTATCTATTCATCGTGAAAAATATTCATTATTCAATAAAATAATTACTGATAGTTTAATTAATAATCAACAATCAATAATTAAAGATTCTATTCAACAACAACAACAACAAAATGATAATGGAAATCAATTAAATTTAGAAATAGATCAAATGCATATAGAACAAATACAATTAGATCATTCTATATTATTTGCTCATAATCATTTAATTCCATTATTTACATCATCATTAATTTATTCACAAATTTTTACATCAATTGGACAAACATTAATTGGTTTTTTAAAATTAATACATTGTCCTAAACGTGCATATGAAATTGTTTATGATTTGGCGGATTTCTTATTGTAAGTTCATATATATATATACGGTTACATAATGTATGTGGCCGAGTGGTTAAGGCGATGGATAGCTAAACCATTCGGGTTTTCTCGCGTGGGTTCTAATCTCATCCCCGTCGAGTGTCGTGTTGCCCCCATATGCCCTGGTATGGCCGAGAGTGGGAAGAATAAGCTCTCCCTCTCGAAATGCTCTCATATGACCACATGTATATACCCTCTGCCAGGGAAGTCCTACTCACTGCCTTCGCGTGGCAGGGGTGTTGTTTACGAAATTGAGAGGACAAAAAGCGAATACCCGGCGCTTTAACCAGGTTGGTTTTAAAAAATCCACCTGGGGGAGTTGGAAAACCCTGATTCCAAACCAATGGTGCACATGGGCTCCAGTATCCTGAAGGAACAAATGGTGTATGAACCAATTGCTGGTCACCGGCTACCATGGGACTGCATCTCCTTACGTTGCTCCACTGCCTTGTGGATCAGACCCTTAGGTCGAAGATTCCGGGTGTGGCCCCCTAAGAAAACCACCTGCTACGGTTTGAGCACCCGGGCAGTATCATAGCCCTCACACAAATCAGATGATATTTGTGTGGCGCATATGTATTCGGTGCCTCCTTGTACCAATATCTATATGTTAAAATAAATAAATAACCCCTTTTTCTCCCCCCTAGAAATCATATTGTTCCTAATTAAACTTTCTCCTTTAAGCTTTAGATTGCGCCTCGGTTGGAAAACCACAAATATCGCCCCCTAGTTTTAACGCTTCCATATTTTTGATTGGAACAGATTACTTTGTCGATCTTCTAGGGTGATGTAAGTCACAATTAAACGCTACTGTTTGCCTTTATTTTGGCATCTAGGTGCTTAGTTAGTTTTTTTTTCCTCAGTAAGTTTTATTTTGTAGGGTTCTTTTGCTGCCTACTACAGTTGTATTATCATAGCTTACATCATAGACTAATCTTTATTAGACAACCATTGAAAGCAGATAATCACTAGATGCGTTATTCCGTCCGAGTATTGGACTCTTCGATAATGCTCATCCATGACCCCACCGGCGATGAAACCCAACACTTTTAGTCTTGCACCGAGCGCTTCACCTCTAGACCACTTAGCCAGCATCTAATCTTATTTTTTATTTTCTAAATTTTTACTGATCATTTAGTTCACAAGGAGCTCATGAATCAGCTTCATGGTTATATGAGTCACTAATAAATCATTATGATGAATCTTCGTGGATTGGTTTAGTAACAAGTACACGCATATGCTTGGCATGGTGCTACCATTCCTTATGTGTAAAGAAGCATTTTGAAACTAAAGATGATTATGAAATTGCTCGAAAGTAGGTGAACACGTGAAGTTTGTTCTTTTTCCTTTTTATGTACCTAAATCATTATCATATATTCAATAATTGTGCTTGTGTTTTCTTAGAACGGAAAGATTATTTCTGGTAGTGAAACCCATGACTCGCGTTTCGTTCTTTTTGGGACTCGTCGGCTGGATGTACCTATCAAATCCCAGTACTGATATCCGTATTAGTACACCTAGCAATGTTAGCTACAATCCGTCTATTGTGAAAGGGGATTTATGTCAAAACGGCTATATCAGGCCATTCAACCCAGAGAATGCACATATACCAACAAAAAGATTGGTCAAAATTCAGTCCCGAATATCTACATTGTGATAATTCAAACTCTTACCAATAATGATATAAACTGCGTTCATGTTTATCGTTTGGTTAGAAAAAACTGCGTTCAATCTGTTCCCTATATTGATCTATTTCTGTTGTACAATAAGGTCGAAAATTACATATCAAAAAATCAAACAGTGGTTTAATAGCTCTTATATACGGTGTAATAATAGGGTTTTTCGCCACTAATCTAATTTTTTTTACTTCGGTTACTAACGTTGGGTTTTATATATTCAGCTCTATGTTATTGTCACATTCTGTCACGTTTCATTCGGTTACAAAAAACTCACGCTTCCCATACGTTTACCCACAAAGCAGTGAAAGTGCAAAGACTAAGAAATTGCTAGGAAGCTTTAATTGTCAGAACTGAATGATAATGTACACAAATCAATTATTTGTGCATTTATCCCTTCTGAACGAGATAACGACATGTTGGCTGAATAGGTAGATAATTAAATCCATCCAGTAACAAGCCTCGTTCATATTTTGTCGATTATCACTTAACTTTGAGACAGTATATGCGATACCTGGCTTTTGCACAGTCACGTACTATTACTTAACTCTCTCAATCTATCAGCCTTGAGCATCGGCTTATTGGTTAAGGTGCTCAATTTTTGACGACTAAGTCCTGGGCTCAAATCCAGCTACATCTGCTTTAATTTGGACAACTGGATAGTATCATTAGTTTGCACACTTAAAGTGTGGTTCATACCCAAGTAACCCAGTAAATAAGTTAATTTAATACATATTAATGTATCCATGTTCATCGAATTTTATATTCATCTTTTTCTCTTAACTACAGCGTATGTGTTTAAAACAATGAATAATTATCTGATTTGGCAGTTAACTTCTCATGATATAAAACATGTTACAAATAGTAATAAATTATTACAGTCCAAAAGCATTCTTTTTTTACACAGTATAAAACTGGGAAACGAAATTAGTCATATTTATTTATGACTTAGTGAATTAGTGCTAGTCATTGCCATTTTCTTAAACACTACACAACATTGTATTAGTGTTTTGTAGAATAAGTACTAATTATATACTTACTTACGTCTGTTACCCCTCGTGGAGAGGAATACGCCGCCCACCAGCATTCTCCACCGAACTCTGTCCTGGGAAATCCTTTCCACTTATTATTCATCCTTTGCATATCTGCTTCAGATTCTCGACATAGCGTGTTCTTTGACCTTCCTCTTTTCCGTTTCCTTTCAAGATTCCAAGTTAGCTTATGCTTCGTGATGCCGTTTGGTGATTTCCGTAATGTATTTCCTATTCACATCCATAGTTTTTTCCTAATTTTTGCTTCATCTAAACGGGTTTGTTCTCTCCCATAGTAGGCTGTTACTGATGGTTTTTGACCAACGGACATTGAGTATCTTGCGTAGACAACTGTTTATAGATACTTGTACTTTGTTGATGATGGTTGTAGTAGACTAATTCAATAGCTTAACTAAAAAAATATTTCGTTGTTAACATTTTCTAAAATGAATGTATATTCATTTTCAGTTTGATGATTTTCCTAATTTATATAGATACATTCAAATCTGTTTCATCTTAGCTGGTACAAAACACTCTGTATTACGTACAGCTGCTATTCATGTTTACAATAAAATTCAATTTTGGTATCAAACAATAAATTTTACACAAATTTTATCGATACCATCATTTAATGATTCAATTAATCCAAATTATTGGTGGAAAGAAGCTGTTGAATTTCGTAATTCTTTATTAGCCTATCATCAATGTATTGTTTTGGATCCTTATCAAATGTCACCATTGTTTCGTTTAAAATCTGTTGAATTGGAAGGTGTTTGTAATTGTGGTTATCAATTGATTTTTATTCAATTAAAATCGAATTCAGACAGAACATTTAAAGCATCGTATGTTATATTATGTTTAGTTTTTTTCCTTTAGAATAACTATTTTTACTTTTTGTCTGAAATCACTTATGAAACACATCTTACTATTTCTAAGAGTTGGTGTTTATCGAAATTTCGGCACAGATTCAGAAAGCTGGGTTAACCTTTGCTAATTTGTGTCATATGTAGCATAGTTCAGATGTCTATCTGGCGATCAAGTTGCAAATGTACTGCTCACCAGTCCACTCTGTACTGTTATATAGATGTCGAAAATAGTCTATATGAATAGAAGATATGCACATACTGGACTTTTTCAAACCATTCATTGGGCATCACTAGAACACCTGAGCTTTAATTAGTTCAATTCATAAAATGTTTATTTTTGACTACGTAAAGCAGCTAATAAACGTTTACCTAAGAAATGCTTAGGTTACAGTCCATTTTCCTCATAATCTCTAACTATTCACCATTCCAATGATCTGTATTCTTTGAAAATGTTTAAATCATCGTATTAACCGATAAGTCCTGTTTAATTTGCTCCCTGTCTATTCATAATTTACATCTGCTGCAGAGATATTTGTATTAGCTTATTGGGAAAAGGTAAATTGAATGAAGAGATAATTCATTTGAACGCTGGAATAGAAGTATACTAACTGCTTTATAACAAAGATGTTATTTGAATCTATTTGTTGTGTGTGGAGCTTGTGGATATTGAGCATTATATCTTAAGTTGAAGTTTGACTCAACATATTTTCGCGTTAACGGTGTTATGATATCTTTAACATTCAGATAGTAAATACAGCTGAAAACTTAGTGCTATAATTTTCTTTAGTTTCTCTATTTCGCCAAGGCTTATACTGTTCTTATGTTGCCACACCACCGTCTTAATATACGATGTTTCAGTATGGGTAGTACATGTCTCAACCACCTCATTTGTTCAAGGTTCACTACTTCACTAAATGATTCGCCAATCTTTACCTTGTACTCTTCATCTTACCCCAGAATTGCTCACTCAGTGGTCCCAAAATACACGAGCGATATTTCTATAACGCTTATGATCGAATACTAGTAACCTATGTCTTCCTATTTTTAGCGACCATGCTTTACACCTATAAAGTAGGACAGAACAATTCACTGCTCGGTAAAATATTTAGTTGGTAGGCAGAAATCTCGATGTGGAAATGAGATGTTCTTGTATATTTATAGGAGCACTTCATTTTTACAAAAATAATCTTGATACAAATACCTCAGTACTTAAATCTCCTGTGTAATCGTATTTTACAAATGATTACTTGTAAAGCGTTTCGACATTTGTATTAAGCATAACTAACCATATTTTTAATACTTGAATCATCAAAAAAAGACGCAACAAAGGTGAATGTAAATTATATATCTTCAAAATGACGACGGTGGATTTTATTCTTAAAGAAGCCTTTAATTGAGTCTGGAAAAAATATTTGTAAAGTGTATTGGTTTATAAGTCGTACTGAAATTAATTGAAGTACAGAACAGAAAATGTAGTTCCAACTAAACATAAGTAGCAACGAGTAATATGACATATGCTATTTAATTCTTAATCTCTAATGATAAACCACATATTATTGGGTGTATTAACAATATGTCCATTACTTCGACTAACTTCAAGTTGATAAATGTGAAGTAGGTACTGATAATTTTGTCCAGAATGACAATCGAAGTTCAGGAATTCAGTTATCTTTCTCAGATAACACAACACTACTTAAAGCTGCCATCTGATCTTCAAATCTCCATAATTTCAAAAGTGTTCATTGGTTTCTGTTTCCTGTTTGTGTAAACTCCGTTCAAATTAATCATATCCCAAGAGTTTTCAATCAGTTTCTCAGTTATTCACTATATCATAAATTGTTTATGCATTATAAAGTTGTACACTTTATATATAGACAACTTATATTGCTGTACAATTTTTTCTATGACTACAGAATACACATTAGTGGATCAGAACCTACGTACATTGACTGGCAAACATTGTTGAATCCAAATGAATTTCTGCCTTATCATGTAATGGATAAAACTAATCAATTATTGATACCACAGTTAGATAGCCAACTACATTTGATCAATTTGACTACTGCTCCTAGTATCTCTGTTGTCAAAAGCTTAGCAGGTAGTAATGTGAATAACCCGATAATTATTGGTAGTGATAATAATAATAATCGTAATAGTAGTAATAATATTAGCACTGGCAGTCATAAAGTTATCTTACGTGGTCAATTTTCTACTTCATCTGAAAAAAATTCAAGACAATACAATAAGTACCATTTACCAACAACCGAAATGACTGTCTCGACTCGTCGAAGTTATTCCAGTATACCAGATAGTTCTAAAGAATATTTGAATAAAAATTTAGCACTTAAAGGAAATCAATTGAGAATTAGTAAAATGAATAGTCAGTCACGTTTAGGTTCATTGTTAAACGTTGCTGCATCATTGGCCAGTAGACCAGCATGGAAATCTCAAGATACTATAGGCGTTATGAGTGATGAACATAATAATAATACTCCTATTTCTACCCCACATATAATACAGAATGGCAGAATTACACGGATTCCTTCTGATGGTTTAATCGGTAAGCATAAAAATTATGAAGGCATTATAAGCATACATTTATACTATTTTATTATTTAAATTAGAATTTTAATGAAGTAATGACTTTCGAAAATGTAAAAGGAAAAACATGAAATATATAATAACTATGACATAATTTATAGTGGTCTAATCAGAACTTGATTTAAGTGAATACATTTGTTTCGCTACACGTTTATCTTATGAAAATATAAATTTTCTGCAGTGTCTTCATCATTTAAATGTATGACTTATTGGGAGCAAATAAACAAATTCTGATGTATTAACTTATACTTACATGACAAGCATAGCTTTTCATTCTTTCGGTGTCTGCTTCCAATTCATGATGCAGTGTTGTTTTTTTGGTCTACCTCTTTTCTTTTTGCCTTGATGATTCCAAGGTAGGGCTTACCTTGTGATACAGTTTGTTGGTTTTCGTAAAATTTGACCTATCCACTTCGAGTGTCTTTTCCCAATTTCCACTTCAACTGGAAGTTGCTTTGTTCTCTGCCATAGTAGGTTATTGCTGTCTGGCCAACGGATCCGGAGTGCCTTGCGTATGAATACCTGTACTTTTTTTGATGATGGTCGTAGTGTTGTGAACTAGAATATATGTAGGGATAACCGAATGTATTTTATTGCAAAATTACAGAATGTCTTAGTCAAGTCTGAGAACCACGTGCGAGCTGCTGAGGAGTCTCATACTAGGAAGAAACGATCGTACAATACTTTCAGGTTTTTAATGGTTCTCTAACCTCGATTGGTTTATGATTCTGATGAAACTAGAATACTGTTCGATCTTTGAATATCATTTGTAATTTTAGGCTGTTCGACCTGAAAATCCCTCATTAGAAGAGAGTTTCTCTAAGGAAAATATTAAATTAAGCTAATTTAGTCAACAGCGGGACAATATCACGAGTTACACTCATATGATAACTATTTCCCATTGGAATTTCATACATCATTCCGTGTAATCATAATTATGAAGTCCATATAGAGTTTCATTGTTTTACCATTCCAGCTCCCAATTCTTTTTAGTTTTACATAGAAATTAATTCATGGATCGTATTCTTCAAATTTTAGATATACCATAATCCATTTCTTAAAAAAAAACAAATGATTTCAGCAAAGAATAAGTTCGAGTAATCTCTTAATAGCTAACTGATAGTAGTCGTATGATTGCTAGAATATATGAGATCCTCAACAATATTTTTCGCGTATATTTAGCAATTATCATCTGTTAAATTAGATATTCTTGTAAAACCATATATAATATTATTATTATTAGTGGCTTTATTCAATATTATACTTTTGGTACAATATAGAATTCTCAGCATAAATTATTTTAACAAGTTTCGGTTTCTTATTTCTTGACGATCAATATTAAGTGGTCGTCAGTTAGATATTAACATTACAGGAATCGATATTTGAATAATATTCATTCTTTTCAATACATATTTCCAGCAATCATGACATCTCTGATTGGGCTTTCTTGTAATTTGTAAAGCGAAAGGTCGTAAACTTTTCATGAACGCGCCTGGATATGTTATGAGATTAATAGGCATAATGATGTGTTAAGACAAACAAAAAAACAGATAACTTGTTGAAATATCTAGATGGCAGGAACAGGTAGCCCAGGTATTCAAATAGGCCGCCTTTATTACTAAATAGAGAATATTCATTATGTATAACTTAAAAGTTACTTTTATTCGTTTACTGTAATTCATCTTTCAACTAGTTGACATTATAAGTTATATACAATCACTCAATGTTTTTTTCTTTCTTTTTGATTTATAGGACTACTATTGTTAAACCTCATAGGCCAACTGTTTGCATCATTAAGTCATAGTTATTTAAGAATCTCGGTCTGTATTCATCAAATCTAATGACTTATCCATTATTGTTGTGTTTTTGTTGTTGTTGTTGTGTTAATCCTAAAACTATTTTTATACCGTAAATAATCGGGTATTTACATCCTAAGTATCAGATTCTAACAATATTTAATTTAACCTGTTTAGTTAATGAGTATGCAATCTTTCTCCTCTTGTGTGAAAGTTTCTTATTCGTTTTCATCAATGTCTTCAATCAAATATTTACTTTTGAATTGATAAAGTAAAAATTAGTCATTCAATCCACACGATTAAACATTGGTAATTGTTCCCTATTCTTTGTTGATGTAATAAAATATCAGAATGGGTTTTGTGGAGATTTTAGAAATTTCACAGATTGAAATCATGAGTCAGTTGAAGCTAGACCACCATTGAAAACCTGGAAGCACTGGACGGCCGTTTCGTCCTAGTATGGGACTCCTCAGCAGTGCGCATCCACGATCCCGCACCACGCGGGGCTCGAACCCAGGACCTACTGGCTTCGCGCACGAGCACTTAACCACTAGACCACTGAGCCGGCATCCAAGGTTTTCAATGGTGGTCTAGCTTCAACTGACTCATGATTTCAATCTGTGTAATAAAATATATCTTATTTGATTCAGACATTTTGGTGCATAATATTAGTGTGACCTTAGTCCTCTATGATTGAACCTAAAAATACCAATGTCTCGAATAAGTTATCTGATGTGCTAACACTTGTTGGTTCATACGAAATCCATATTCCTAAATGCTAATCAAAACAAAAGAATAATACAACCACTGTAACTATTGTTTATCCCAATCCAAAAACACAATCATGTAAATGAATTAAAGTATCACAAAGCACGATTAGTAGTAAACTACAACGTTTACCAGTATGAATAAAGCCCCTAAATGCTCTGGTATGGCCAAGAATGAGGAGAGTTCACTCTTCATCTCGAACTGCTTTCATATAGCCACACGTATATGATCATTGCCAGATAAGTTCTATTCACTGCCTTCTCATAACCGTGGTGTTGTTTACGAAATTTAGAGGATTACAAGTGAATGTCTGGCGCTTAAACTGAATTAGTGGGTACGGAGAATTCATTTAAGAAAGTTGGAAATCAGGCTTGTAATTAATTTACAATAATTTCAAAACAGTAAAAGATATGAAAACAGTTGACTAGTCAAATCAAGATTTACAATTAAATAAATATAAAATTAAAGATTGTTCACAAATTATCTTCTAAATTATAACATATATTTGTCTCATTTTAACCGACATAGAAATGGACTAATTCAGAGAAGTTTAAATTAAATACAATGAATGAATTCATTCGTTCCGACTAGTCTCTTTCTTCGTTATAATCAACTTTATGCATAAAGTTTAGTTTGAATGAATTAAAGAAATACTTGAAAAAAATTTCATAGTTTGATTACTAATATATAACCATCTGACTATTCATATGTCTTTGTTTTTCTTTCCAACTTAACTCTACTATTAACTATTTATCAAGGTGCTATATGCTTTGAAATTTTCCATTCATTTACAAAATCATAATTTCATAAAACAAGTATACATCATTTATTTGAAATCTTGTATGTTCTATCTTGACTTACTTACTAACGCCTGTTAGCCTTCATGGAGGAGCATAGGTGGTCGCACACCAGCTCGTTCTAAATTGACTTATCATTACAATGCATGAATGATCAATCAGTAAATTAAATTAAACATGTAAGTATGTAATGAATAATAAGCTCATGAAAATCAAACAATGCTATAAAACATTCTTATTATATCTATGCTTAGCTCTTCCATTTTATCTTATAAACTAACTTGTGAATCTCTACGCTTGTAAATTCATCAGAAACCTTCTTTTTTTAAAAAAAACTTTGTTACGTTTGATCATTACTTCCTTACAAAATCTATGCTTTACGAAAGTGATGTTATAATATTGTTAGAAATGAGATCCAGAATGCACGTCTGAACCTATTCAAACTTATTGTTAATATCAATAACAGGGAGACCTGAATCCTTACATTTGACTTAAAACTCATTAAACAACTTAATGGCTTTATGAACTCAAATAGGTCAGTGAATAACATATTGGCGTTTGAACTGAGTTTGAGTCCCAATATGGATACCAACACGGGTATTCAGGTATATTCAACTGATGAGCCTGGAATAAGGCGAGAAGTACTTGCTGAATTCTACTAGTAGCTACAATCCAAATTTACTGAAAATTTATAACTAAAAGGCAATATCAAGGTAATCATCTCAAGATGTAAATATATATCGCAATATGAAGTTCAGTCCTTATTATCAACAACAGAAAGATTCAAACCCTTATATGTATTACTTTATTTATTTTCTCTTTCAGAACCAAATATTCATAGTTCAATACAAATTTTAAGACAACATTCACTCTGTCCAACGAAAAAACGATCACGTATATCATTCAGTATTAATGGTAAACACGATATGTTTGGAAATGAAAATAGGGAATCATCTACTCCTGTTTCAACTAAAAATCCACTTTTTATTTTAAATCATGAAGATTCTTTTGTAATGATAAAACCTGGGTTAAATAAATTGTCATTTATAGCTAATGTAAGTCGACTTGTTCTGTTTTCTAATTCATTTAACTTTTTATATCAATAATATTTTGTGATGATGGAGAGGATTTGTAGTTCAGATGAATGATTTAGGTTGAATTTTGTTTTCTGAGCTGGTTGGTTTAGTCCAGCTCAGAGAACAAAACTACATTTAAATGGTATTTTGTCTTTGAGAGAATACATTGTCAACTGACTGCGTTGCAAATCAGTTATAAATTACAGAAAAACTAGTATGTTCGATCAGAGTAACCTGTGACTGGCTAATGAGCTTAAATAGACATACTATTATGCATCACATATATATTATAATCGGATCCGTCACCTGTTTCAACTTTGTGTCATTATACTCTTTTAATATCAATATATTATTCCTGAATAGACGGTCAAACTTTAATTGGTCAGGTACACGTGATTTAAACGATCCCAACATACGTATATTGCTATTATTCTATCATAAATACTCTCGAGATCTTTCTTGATTATGATGAAATGATGGGATAGTGAATACGGGAGTTAGGTGTAAGGCTTTAGATGGAAGTACTAAGTTGATTGACATGGCCATTGAGAAATTCACTTGGATAACACACTTGAGGTCGGTTAAGTCGAATAAATATCTTTGCTGCTCAGAGATATTTATGTGTAGAACATATAAGAGATTATTTTGTAACAAATCATAATTAGCTTATGTTAAACTCACATTCAATGTGGTAAAAACAATTACAACAGTCTATTTGCAAAGCAGTCAAGCCAAAGAATGATAGGTTCAAAATGACTACCCAAACAAAATAATTGTTAGCCAACAAGAGAACAGTTTGGTTGATTTAACCAATAAGATGAAAGGAAAACGAATAAATACTAATTAATGATATATAACAATTATAATATTAGAGCTCCACAGTCTATACCGCTCCGAGATGAAGAATCCCTGAGTACTTTTATCATTTCATCTTATCACTATCATCTCTAGTTTATAGATTGAGGTTAGAATTATGATAGATTCAATCAGTATAATTTTAGTACGCAAACTGATTGGTCTACCAGGGTTCTTGGTACTAGTGTGTTTGTACTCCAGGGTTAATCTGTGCTATGCAGGTTATGTAAAAATCTGAAGTGTTTGGTTCTACTGAAAACCAGTTTGAAATTATCCTATTGCACGGTATATTTACAACAAACTGGTATTGTTCGGTCTTAAGCTCGGACATATTTTTTATTAGTTTAGGGGTTGTGGAGATTGTTAAGTTTTTTTTATTGAGATCACGAAACGGCCGTCCAGTGCTTCCAGGTTTTCAATGGTGGTCTAATATTTTTTATTATTGCATGCTTTGCTTTTTTGATGTTCAAGTTAGTCGCTTCATCCGATAAGCTGTGATTGTGAACTGTCCGACTTAAATAATTGAAAGAGTTCAGTTATTCAATGAGGTAACTATCAATAAGGACTATGTTATGACGGGATGAAAGGTCAAAATTAGATTGATTTACTCATTATGATTTTTATTCAATATTAATTCCATTTAATGCAATTTAATGATCACTCAGTATAGTGTCTGTTTCGTTTTCTCGTATGACATTTTATTCTGTATAACATACGACATTCTTGTATGAATTATTAATCAAAAAATGGGTGTACAAACCAACATATAAATGAGTGTATTTCCGACTAGACGGGGTCGTGGTTGCTCGTGCTTCTGGCTGCTCGCGGAATAAATTTCCCCTTCTCGAACATGGACTTCTCTCTCTAGTTAGCGGGGCTGGGACGCATCATAATAGCTAGCTTATTGGTCTATGATCACAGAGTCTTAGTTCCGTTCACAGACTAGATAAACTTGTAATCCCTTCAAACATAGCAGACTGCTAAGTCCACACCCTTTGCACTAATGATTATCATTCTTGTTCTTCCCTATGATATCTTCATTCCGAATTATTCAGGTAAATTTTAAAGATTGTTCAGTGTGTTTGTGGCGTTATTGGTGGTTGTTGTCATTAGACACAGATTGTCAACATGTTTAATATATGAAATTTTCCATGTCTCTTAGGTGTTATGTGTCGGTTGTAATCCTATATTCATTTCTTCGATAGTGGATCACTTGAAAACAAACTTAAGAAAAGTATACCTTATTTATTACTCTGCTTTACTCCTCTATACATCGTGAGGTAGGATTTATCTTCTTTTAGATAGCCTTTCGGCTAGTCAAGTAACCATTTAATACAATGTTGAATATTGGCAAAAGTGTAGATCTTTTCTTCAAGGTTTGCTATGGGAATTCTATTCACTTTCAGTTTTCGTCGGTCATCTTTCTCAGATTCGAATAATAATTTTCCTCTTTGTTTTCACCACTTAAGCATCCTGTTGAAGCACACCAACCAACTAGGTTAATTTCAAGATCAAATATATTATTTACCGTAATTGTGACGCATCTATTTATTCGTAATTCGAGACGAAAATTCCTTTTTTCCTATTGACCCTAAGTAGTTGGAGAATCCTGGTTGACTTCCAATAAGTTTTTATTCATTTTCTTTCGCTTAGATATTAATTTTTAATCCTGATATTTTTTTATTCGTTGTTAAAACTCCTTTTTTCGAAATATTATGATTGAGTTCAGCCTCATTTAATCACTGATATCGTTATAATTTTGGCTTTTCCACCTTACGTTGCTGTCCGAATTTATTGTGTCTTAATTTCAGTCAGTACTCATTTGTCCAAGACCCTGTGTTTAGCTCCTCAAGATTAATCCTATGGTACTTTTCAACTCATTATTTAGCGATAGAGAAGAATGTGCGTTTATCATCTGCTCATATTAGATCACTGATATTTTCATTCTTTCTCAAATTAACGGTTAAAACTATGATATGTATAACCTTATGATAATGGGTTGGTTAACTAGTTATGATTAGTCTAATTCCAACGAAAAATTAGAATACACAATAGTGGGACGAAAATAACGGATTCTGGTAGTTACGTAACCTATAATATGTGTATGGTTTGTGATTTATGAATAGCATAGCGGTTAAACCAGTTGGTTTCTTGTGAATTCACTATAACGTCTATTATAGAGTTATTAAACGTTAGTTGATTAATTATTAGTAACCAATGTCATGTTTCTGGTTTAGTCCATAAAGCCGACCAAATTTTCTGGTCAAGTCTCAGTAAACCACCAGTCTAATTGATTCGATATCACATGCATTATGTTTTGATGTAACACGATTGAAAATAGTTAACTAAAAACCATATGGACCTAAATTTCTTGCTAGTTCATAATCGTCAACAATAGATACCTGAACAGATGTTTCCTATGGTAATAGAGTTTTCCGCCAACTTCCTTCAACCTAAGGATACTAAAGTTATTCAAGAATATGAATCAAAATACACCTGAATCGTTGTTTAGATGTCTAGAATATATCTAGATGAAGACCACTGATTAAAATGTCGCTAATACTTTTCACCGTATTGAAAATAATCATTCAAGGTTATAACATATTCATGAAACAAATAACTTAACAGCTTATACAATTTTTTCACAGAAGCGTTTTTATCTCATTGTAGTCAACGAACACTCAAGTGAAAGAGACCAATTTATTAGTTAATACAAAATTACACAATGTCTTGGTAAAATATGACAAGCATACATTAAATACTTCATTTGCACATTGTCCACCAGTTTTCTCTTACAAACTTCATGATTACTTCACTCTTATTGTTATTACAATTACTGTATGTTTACATTTCTGCTCTCTTCAATTCCATCTTCTCAACCTTATATTGTCAGACATTCCACTTCTGAATGGTGTTGCATACTGCTTATGTAGACAGACATAAGTAGCATGCACCACAATATTACCTGAATAAAAATAAGACAACCACTTCACGTAGATTTTCTGTAAATTCTCTTCGTTTTTATTCTCTAAATTCTCGCAATTTATTTGATTTATCATACAGTGTATTTTTATTTGTTTCGGTATTCTTGGATTATCTTGATGACCAAGGACATTTGTAAAAAAACTATTGTTCGTAAAGATAATTTAACCGTTTCTGAGAAGTTCCAACCTCATATAACAGCCAAACTTTCGTAAATGCATCTTATTCATAGCAGGATGTATTTTTTAAATGCGCGTTCCTCTTAATCATAAATCTTTTGTATTTAATTGATGCATTTATCATTGTCATCATTCACAAAGTGAAGTTTCTTACCGTGTCCGCTTTTTCTACTTCATTATTGTTGACAAATTAAAAATGTTTAAATAATTCACATATTAAAAGTCTATTACATGTCATTCTACTTCTGGCAACGTCATCAGAATTTATATGCAGCTTATGTTAGAACTTTAAATACAATATATCTGTACTTGTGTTTTCGTTTGTCTTTTATATTCTGAAGTAGCTTACAGTGAATAATACAATTTATTCTTTGGTTTATATTTCCTAAATTATTCGATGCTTTTATACGCACATCAGAATAAAATATAGCAGTGTTTAGTGGGTTGGATCATGGAAACGTCATTATATATTTGTTAGATTGTTAATATATGTCTTATCGTTTTTTTCATATACTTTCATATATATCACACAACTTTAGGCACCAGGATTTTTAATTCCTGAGAAAATTTTCATTAATTGTCTTGATGAAGTCAATACTGAATTAAAAGAAGCATTAACAGAACAAGAATCTGTGGAACCGTCAATTAATAGTCGTTCCGAAGTAAATTTCGTATCAGATATAGATGGTGATGTTTTTGGATCTAGTTGGCGTGATACTGCAATGATGAAAACATTGTTACCTAAACCAGAGATTTCAATATCAAATAACTCGAGTGGTAAACGATATCCAGGTAATTTAGTGAATAAAAATAATGGGTACTGGTCTTATATTTCTTCCAAAATTTCTCCATTTTTATTCAATATCTACGTATTTCACTAATTTGTGTTTTCACAGATACTACTAAAAACAGCTAAAAGTTTCATAATGAAGCTCCTTTTCTTTCAGCCTGGAATATAGTGTAGCTTAAGGTGAATAACTTGATCTGAATATACAGTTATAAAACAAGATGTTCAATATCTATTAGCGTCATTATGACCAGCAATGGTTTAGTTATTGCCTGAAGATTTCTAGCAACCAACTTTTTCTCATGAGTAATATAATTGGCTACTTTGCTTTTTACTACACAGCTCAAATCACTGACTTAACAGGATTTCTTTTTCTTGTACATGCCTTAAACTACTTTACTAAATTCATGTTAAAAATATGTTTTTGTAATGGGTACTTATGATAATTAGGAGTATTTGAATTATAGTACGAACTAAGAATCTTAGAAATAACGCAATTGGATCAAGAAGTACCCAATAAGCACGAACGGAGTACAAAGGAATCATTAGTTCATTCAAACACCACAGTACTAAACCTGAATCATTTCAATGAGGAAGTCAAATTCACGTCATAGGTACCTTCTAATCGTATAATTAATCATTTAGTCTGTTGTTCACGCATAAATAACTTCCTAAAATTAGGGGCGACTAAATATTTTTCTGTCACCTTGACAGTTTGGTCGAGTTCGTTTATATTGGTGACCCAATTTATCTATGTGGGTTGGGGTATTTGTTTCTTTAGTAGATTCAATCATTCCAGCCAGGTTGACTGGATAGCTAATTGTAAGACTAAGAGAAGCGACTTTAGGTTATTGGGTGGAGTTGCACTGCTGACTGTACTAGTGTGTGACAACTGTAAGGTGTTATCTTCATACATATCAGGTACAGAAGTTTAAGAAACCAACAAAATGGGCCACTAGGAAATATTATTAGCAGTTGGACATTGTTTATATATTCCAGCTACATATCTGTTTAAGCAACTATTACGACAAAGTAAACAGGTTTTTGTCGGTCCTATTCTGGACACTAGATACTCAATAATGATATCAGTGGGACTGGGCACTAGATTAATAGGCTTAACAAGACACAATACTCGATCAATCCAGCCACTCAACTCATTTATCCAACTACGATCAAGAACCAGATTAAGTCTGCAAATGGATTTATCAGCAGACCAGTTCAAAGTAATCAACAAGTGGAACGAGACTGAAATCGGTTTTATGTATGAAATAGTTTTGTATATTTAATGTCCTCGGATATGTTTGTCTTCTCTCATAAGCCAATCACGGTTTGACTTGACTGACTTATCAACGACCTCAACAGAATTATTGAGACATGTGAAAGATGTTTCACTTTTTTGATGTGAAACTTTTCAGTATCATGCCTAGATCAACCTACTTGTTGCATTGTTTGAACTACTTTCATTTAGATATCCAATACCCAGATACTTAAAATATTAATTATCTACTCTATGAATCATTTTTGAACCTGTTCTTTATCTCTTAGTTTAAAGTATACTCTTGTTTACTTTAATTATTATCTATAGTTGTGTTTGGTACATGTCAACCAATTCCAGTTCAATTAAGATTGGGCAAACTGGGCTTATCAGAAGATTGTAAGTTAAGCACAAGTCTATATCGTATTCGTTCAAATAATAAAAATTTTGTATTCAAGACTAAAGAGGAAACAAATTTCATTAAAACTTATAATAACCCTAATGGTAATGATGGAAATGAAACAATTTTCAATAATCAATCCAGTATCACTGTTGATGGTGGTTATCAAATATGTAATCAATATAGTGAAAATGATTATTCATTAATTTCTAATTCATTGGAAAATCATCAAGATGAACATTTGCATGAAAAGCATCAAACTTTATTTAGTCAATTTATTTTAGAAGATGGACCAGTTGATTTTATACGAGAATATAATCCATTATCACAAAGTTTAAAATGTAAAATTAATCATCCTATGCCAACATTTCCACCTGGATGTTGTTTACAATTAAGTAGACCATTATATCTATCGGCTACATCTTGCAATGATCAAGTAAGTACATATATATATATATATGTATTTCTTTAAGTAAATTGATTATTTTTCATTGTAATGATGTTTTTTATCTTCACTTACATTGAACCTTATCATCAGTATATTGATTCTGAAAACAATTAGTTATTCATACCTTGCCATATTGTTTGCTTGATATGAAAACGTCTAAGTTTATAGAGAATTTAGACCATTGAAATTACCTTTGAAGACTTGTGAAACAAACTTATGCATCATCATAATAGCTTATAGTCAAGCTATCGTATGTATGAGTACCTGACCATTATCAAACAGCACATCCCTCTTCATTTTTCAATGAAAGCTCTTGTTCTCTGAAACCAACTTTGAATATGCGGAATTTCCGTAGTCGAACTTCATGCTTCATGTCTTTCATACGCTTTACATCTTTTTTTACTGGTTGAACTAAGAAAATCAGCAGGATAAAATTTACTAACTTTGTCTGACAGACTATGCACATGTGACGCGAGAGTCGTCATTATTAAGCACTTATCCACCCCATAATAGGGAAAAGCCGTGCACTTCTCTTTAAACATCCTTACACGACCGTGAATTGATAGTCTCTTTAAGAGAAGTGCTTTTCTGCTCGCTTAACGTGACAGGATTCTTTCGACAAAAACTAAAGAATCAAGGTAGATGATATATCTTGCTCCTTGATTCTCAACACATCGGTTTCAAGATACGTAGGAATTGAATCTACTGTTGTTGGTCTTTTGTTTTATAGACTGTTTCTGTGACTTGGTTATTTCCTAGGAAAACCCAGTGATTCAATTTGACCATTTGGTATGTATCACAAGCCCCTCCTACAATAAGGTGTATTATTTATTCAAATTATTTGCAATTTACTTATAATCATACTCGGTTTATACTGTTTTTGTGCTCAATAGTTAAATAATGAATTTTAGTGTAAACGAATGAATGTTCATTATAATCAATAAAGAACTTTTTGTTTTAGTTTGCACTTTCAATGCCTAGTGGACATTATTGTATTCTACCAGTAGATATTATCAAACCACTTGGATTCAATTTGAATATATTCCCTTTACCTAAAACATAGTGAGTGAATAATAATATGCTTACTAGTTATATATTTATTGTTAACAAACTACTTCTTGAAGTGATGGGAAGAATATATGCCTCAGAAATGAATGTTCTCTAAATTGTCTTGCATTTTTTGTACTGAATGCTACACTTAAAAGTTTTCATTATTGTTGGACATCATGTGACGAACAGCGCACACGCCTACTTGAAGGTTATTTACCTAAATTATTATTGATCGAGTCAAGGCTTACGGTATACCATCATCTGTACTGGCCACGTTTCAGATACGCTCCTAGAGATCGTCTGACTTTTTAGGGAATGACATAGTATTAGGATATTCAATTATATACCTGAAATACGAAAACGATGCAGTCATGTTGACAAATTAAGTACTTACTTACTTACTTACTTACTTACTTACGCCTGTTACTCCCAATAGAGCATAGGCCACCGACCAGCATTCTCCATCCCACTCTTCACGAATTCTCGAGTTTAATTAATCCTTCTTTAACTGAAGAATGTTGCTTCAGAGCTTAACATTGTTAACTCCTCAGCCTGACTATAAGCTCTACAATTATGAAAAGGCAACCTGGCTGTTACCAACTTACGCCATGTGCTTATTCATGAGGATCTCACAGCTTAGAACGTCTATGAATAATGGCAAACCCATACTTCATCAAAGAATTTTCACTAATACAAATATTTAATCCATATAGTAGTTAACTCACTTAGTAGGTCGTCAATAAAAGTCAGGCAGCTCAGAAACGTCATACATATTCAAGAAATTACAGAAATCCAAGCCGATTTATTGATGTCACTAAGTTAACTAGACCGAAACAACCGTATTTAAACTTGTGACAAAGTAGTTAAGATTCAGATGAATGAATTTCTAAGCGTCTGCAGTTCATTCTGATATCCTAAAGACTTTACAATGCATTCTACAAACCTCAATAATTTTCATATGCTCAAGCCAGTAGTTTCTCTTTACGACAAACAGATTTTCAAGTATAAATAGAGAATAAGTTGACGACAATCATATTTTGTTACGTACTAGTTTAGATAAGCGTTGTACATGTTGAAAAGATTTTCACTGTTACATTCTCTTTGGGAAAAATGATATTTATAAGCAACTGTGAAGCGTTATTAAATTTAATTTGTGAGGATTATAAAATAGTATAATAGTATCTAAAGGATATGTACTGCTTTTAATGTGTGGTATTTATCTGACCCTAAATATATGTATCAATATGTTAGTTCTCGTACATATTTTGTGCTACGCGATAAACCATCCACAATCCTGAATTAGGATTAGAATGAATTAGTGTTTCTGGATGTTCTATGTTGAAGTGAAACAATCTGAAAAGATTTTAGGAACTATTACTTAATAAGTTATGACATCAAAAAGCCTATCATGATATTTACCCAGAGAATATTAACAATCTGATGCACCGATACATATGTAAAGGGACTGTTTGACAAAGGCAAACATTCCTACAATTGAAGAACATATGGAACTCAAAATAACTTAGACAACACCAAAGTTAAATTTTTCAATACAAACATCAAGACAGTCCTATTGTACTGAGCTGAAACTAAGAGAACTACTACAACCATCATCAAAGATGTACAGGTATTCATATATCGTTATCTATACAAGATACTGCGGATCCGTTGGGCAGGCACCACCAGCAATAACCTACTATGGCAGAGAACAAAGCAACTTCCAGTTGAAGTAGAAATTGGGAAAAGATGCTAGAAGTGGATAGGTCAAATTTTACAAAGACCAACAAACTATATCACAAGGCAAACCTTACCTTGGAATCGTCAAGGCAAGAAGAAAAGAGGCAGATTGAAGAGGACAGTGCGTCGTGAATTGCAGGCAGACACCAAAAGAATGAATAGCACTTGCGAATGACTGGAAAATGAAGTCCAGGACAGAGTTGGTTGGAAATTACTGTTCAGTGGCCTATACTCCATGAGGGTTAACAGACGTACGTAAGTAAGCTGTACCGAATAGTTCTAATTCAATTGATAAACATATTGAATATATCTACCGACCCAAACGCTTGATCAGTTTTTCTCCTGTTACATGCGTTTCCTAAATTTTTCAGCTCCTTATACTGCCATGGCCTAAGATAGTTAAAAAAGACGCTCATTCATTTGTGTCTATTGTTTTCAGGAAGATATAACTTTTCATCACATACTTCCCAACCAAAATTAAAACTTTCTCTGTTGTTCATTCTTATCCACACTTTGACTTTAGCGTTATCTTCAGTCTAAACATTACTTGTGTGGACACTGACCCAGATTCAACTATAACACCAGAAGCATACTGCAGTCAAAATCTACTTTGCAAAGACCCAATAACATTTGAATTGTCTAATATGCGATTCTATATTTGTGCTTCAAAACTTTACTTATCCAGACGTCTAGCACTAAGTAGTTCCTTTTCAAATGGTCAGAACCAACCTTATAATCGTCAACTGAAATCACATAGCTATCTCTCGTTGGAAGATAGTCATCAAATTACTGGGGATGTTACTAAAAATGATGTCCTAGAAACAGGTTCCGGGGACAAATTATACGATACTGTCAATCAAACCATTGAATCTTTAACTGGTGACCTTCTGGACAATAGAATCACTAAGGCTGTATGTTTATCGTTGTTACTGTATTGTTATTGTTTTTTTTTAAATTCTCCAAATAACTCTAACTCAGTGTTACATTATGGTTTAGGCAGTGGTTATCACCCGCATCCTAATATTTCGGATCACCACATATCCAAGTTATACATCTTCAAGACATGAAAATGCTGAGTTGGCTATAGGAAAACTTCTAAATTCCACATATCAAGAAGATATGTTCAATTTTTTATTCGCTAAAATTATTTTTAATTGTGAATACTAGACCATTTCCTCTTTGGTTAAGATTAGAGAATGATATACTAAAGAAATTTTGAAAAGTTCTTCCTTCCCTTGACCAATAGGTTTGATCATTGTAGATAGCCATCTATTTGTCGTTTCAGTAAAATATCGAAATAGTAAAATTTCATAGTTCGCCTCGTAACTCTTTTGTTGTTAAAAAGATCATCCAAGAAACTGAGATAATTGTTCTCTTAAACAATGATTTGGTCGATGGATGTAAGTTAAAAACAAGTATTTATAATCCTTTCAATTCTTTGTTTGTACAGTTTCATCATAGAGTGATGAGTAGTTTAAACATCCCCTTTTAGTCAAATATAAACAACAAACTGTAAATGTTAAGATTAAAAGTTTTAATTATAAGCAAAGATAGATAGTGGCTAGAAGTGGAATCCAGGACGCGCGTTTCGTCCTACCTGGGACTCGTTAGCTAGATGTACCTGCATCTCAGAGTTGATGTTCACTCTGGGACTAGAACCCAGTACCATTCGCTTCCAACGCCATCGCGTTATCCACTTAGCTCAGTCAGTCAGTAACAACGTAGAACTTCGTACGTACGTACATCAGTCGGAGTTGCCATACTACATTAGCACACAGACACTTAGCTACTGAGTCCTGATAGCTACTTGCCTGTACAGTGGGGTGAAGTTTAAATTCAGTTGGTATTGTTTACTTGAATCTTCCCATTGACGATTGGGACTGCAATTGATCAGTCTCTTATTGGCATATGTGCACATAAAAGTTTTAATTGTTTTATTTGCAATGTTAATCACTTTTATAGAATCATGAAATATTGTTGTACGTTATCTATATCGGAAAAAAAAGAATCATCTCTGTTATTCAGGTTAATTCTTCAATATGAATCGAATATATGGATAATGTCACGTTAACTGGGTTTTTTTTTGTTGACTTGGGCCAATTCTTCTAATAGTCCTATGAATATTTACTCAAGAATATACAGAAGCCAGAGCATTAATTATTGAGAAAGTTTGTGTTGTTACTATTTGGTTAATTCGACAAACACTCTATGAGCAAGCACCGCCGGAAAGGAAATGAGTCCAAAGAATTGAATGTATAATTTCTGAGTGGTGATCAATAAGTGGGTAGAGTTTTCACTGATTATCTGTGTTTACAACCAACGAGAGGATAGATAAATATTAAAGTGCAGACATATGTTCAATCAAACTCAAAAACAGTTATGAAAAGTGAATCGATTGTCTAAATTACAATAATTAGTTAATGAAAACTATAATAGGCTTTTCTTCTGACCTGGATAAATAGGTTGTACAAATAAACTGTAATAATAAGGGCTTACTATACTGTATATTTTATGTTTGTTATTTTGCTGAATGCTGATTCATATTCAAGTAGGAGAGGATCTTCGTGTAAATCTTTGTTCTATACCATCACACACTATAAGGATTTTATTTTCAGAAATAGTCATTTATTTAAGGAATCTGATTTTCATTGTTCATCTAATTAAGATCATCTCATGATTTAAACTGTAAAAAAAACCACAATCTCCACATAATCATGTATACACTAGTGACTAGCTTCAAATCGCAATTATAGGGTTCTGGTAAGAGTCTGTGATCAATAGATTTCAATCATGTTAGGTGTCAGATAGTGACCCATCACAGACACTGAGAGATATACACGTAATACATTGGAACGATTCAACTTAGACATACCATTGGATGCGCCGAGTCAGTGATCTAGGAGTGAATGTGTCTCGCATGAAAACGGAAGTTCCAAGTTCGGCTAACTTTAGGAGGGGGTCGTGGATGCGAATTGTTGAAGAGTCCCACACTAAAAGGAAACAACTATTCACTGCTTCCTCATTTTTAGTAGTGACCTAGTTAAAAACAGTACGTGGTTTAGACTATGGAAATTCTACAATCTCCACAAATCCCTTTATACTGTATCTATTATTTACTTATCAAATTAACTAATCTAATGGGAAAAAAATTTCTTTATATTTTCTTGTATCACAGTATGTCACTCATTTAACACCGTTTTCAATACCTTGGCGTTTCAAATCATTAGAATATAATAATTTTATGAAAGTTTGTAAAGAATCACATTGTCAACCAATTGGACGTTTCGAATGTACAATGAATCGAATTGGTAGTATTAAAAAAGTTAATCAGGATATAAGAGTGGATTGTGCTATTAGACAACAGATATAATTGGAATTCATCATTTAAGTCTGGTATATATTTTTTTCTTAGTACTTTTGATATAAATACCTTTTTTAAGTGCATTATATTCAAGTATTCAATACTGACCTTATCAATTTAAGAAATCTTACTTCTTATATGTGATGTGAAAGAAGACATTTTTATCTGATTTCGAACTTATTTCCAAATTCATGATTTTTAAATCTTTGACTTATGATTGTTTATCATGCAAAAAAAGAAGAAGAAATATTGTGATGCATATCTATCTGTTCCATTTATCTGTGATACTATGATAACTGGAACTGTTCACTAGGACTCTATTTTGTATATATATACACAATTTGAGATATTCTGTTTTCTAATAATAACATCCTCTCATTATCTTTCAAAACGAAACAACTATTCTTTTTAACACATAAAGTATTTGCAGCACATGTATCATTTTGATTACAAATGACTATTTGGGCAAATTCCATGGATTTCAGTTAGATACGTATATTACTGGGTACGTATGTTCGTAAAATGTTAATTACAAATAGATTTGATCACTGTCTACTTATGACTTGATAGATTAAAATACACTAAATATAACCATTTAATGCAACAAACTGATACTTTCTTCCAAGATGGTGTTAAAAAAGTGTAGTACTCCAATTGCTACTACATTTTTTGTATGTTTTTTTCTTTTATGTAAAATGAACAAATTACCACATCAGTTTTGGTATTTTACAACAACAGAGATCAATTCGTAAATACATTACCGTATAAAATATTTTGGATTTATGTTTCTACATATATGCAATTGGCAATAACGACTAATGAAGCAAAGCAACATTTCATCATTTGTAAGTTATATTCGTCAGAGATTGAGCTCAGTTGAAGTACCATTAAAAGGCACTAGGGTGCGCTGAACATGTCTCGTTATAATACGGAATTTCTCATCAGTGTGCACTTCAGGGTTCGAAATTATGAAACACGGTCTACGATTAACTATCATTCATTATTTGTGTGTTTAACAAAAATATATGACTGCAAGTTCCCAACATCTTCCCCCGAGAGAAATAACCATTGAAGCGGGATGAGTTTTAAATATTTATAAGTACACATACTACCAAAGACAAAGGCTAATAATAAAAATTTATGAAATTCAATATGGATGATTGAAAGAAGAATACCACTTGACACATTGACAGTTGAATGCGTTTTCCACTTAGACATACAACAGATTTAAATACTTTAGAAGAGAAATATTATACATTATGAAGAAGATTTACCTTCTTACAATAGGTTGTAAACTATAGTTCGATTGTTATTAAAGTGTGGAAATGTGTTAATCGTAAGCTAGAAAGAAATGAATCTCGTAAGATATAACAATATCTCCGCCTCAAGGTATATATATAGCTTAAAAGCAAACGGTAAAATTATCTTTTATTCTGAAACGATATACTTAACATACTCATGAACTTATAAAAATAGATTCATCAAACGAATACAATCAGTTTACTCATGGTTATATGTACTGAAGTAAAACAAACAATTTACACATGAAAGTATCATCATTATTAGAATTCTACTGAACCAGTTATCATAGATACAGTATGAGTTTCTATCGGATGACAATAGAGTATAGTCATATTGTATTGTATTTCGCTTTCTGAATGTCGGAAATCGTACAATTCCTTGACAAACCATGGAAATGTTGGTGGACCATAAAAAATAAATGTTTGAGGACCACGAATTTTTCGCCTGCATTCATAGAATAAATATAAAACAATTAGAAGAACTAATTTTTATTATATAACGAAATAGACGGTCAAGACTCCAGTTTACATTAATAAACTAAGATATTAAAAGAAATTGAAAAAAAGCCTTTAATGGTTTTGTAACTACATTGTGGCTTTTTTCCCTTCAATTATTTAAGTAGGACTCCGAAAAGTAACTGAGATTTATTACTTTCTAAACAAAAGTAGGTCACCTAACAAACCCAAATTATTCTTGATTATAAATGACAAATTTAAAGAACATTTGCTTATTTGTCTACGAAATTTAGCGTTTATGTAATCTCCACTCAATGTACAGTTGTTTTTTTGCTAAAAAAAATGAGAAAAAAGGAAAGACAATTAGGAGGATTAAATCCTTTGGTATGGATATTCCCTTAGTTCTATGAGATCAGTTGGCTGTTCCATATAGTTGTTGGCTAGCTCATGTCACAATTATCTATCGTATGGGTAAACATGTATTCATCCCCATTGAGCAACCTCTGGTTATTATGAATTGTTTCCTTACTTTTCAGGAAATCTCAGAGTTCCATTCACATAATACATTATTAGTAGAAAAAAGTCTTGATTTACTATCAACCTCTAATTAACGTAATTTGGTTTATGCCATTAAGATAAGCAAAAATAAGTACTCAGGAATAAAAAATCAATATAATTGGATAATCAGTCAGCTAAATGCACCATAGAACCTAGTACATGAGTACATCGGTTCAAGTTACCATACCCTATTAACACTGAGATGAAATTGTTAGAGCAAATCTCACAGTTATTTATTTATTTCACTACGACGTAAATTGATTTTCCATACTCAACATTCTGCGTCTAAACTTATAATTGCTAACTCGATGGTCTCGAAATATACGAGCAATGTTTAGTAGACACATATGGTCGTATACCAGTAACCTACGAATATCCTAATTCTAAAGCTATGTCTGACATTTGTAAAGAAGAACAGAGCGAACTGCTGCGTGGTGAACTCGTCCTTTCGTTGGGAAACCGATATTTACCTTACGCCACGAATGAAAATTTGGCATAAGTCAGCCGGGTTTTTTTGAATCCGTGCTGAGGTTTCAGATATAAATGACGTGATCGACACACTTAACTACTTCACTCCATATCATGAGTTCAGCTGGTATCACAAACTAATCAGCCCTGAAGCAATATTTGCATTTAAATGATGAGGTGCATCCCAAACATAACAGCATTCTTGTTTAAGGTGATCAGAAGATAGTGTATTTTCGGTTTCTTCACCAAACAGAATTATACCACCTGATAGAAGATCGACTCCTGATAAATTAGACAACGAGTGTTATCTCTAAAACAATGTGTATGACAAAACTAAATAGAAATGGGGAGAGCGGACAACCTTAACGAACACCACTTAAAGCTATCAACTCCGACGACAGTTCGTCAGAAGCTCTAACTTGACGAATAATGCTTGAGTAGAGAACATGTGCTTGTTTGGTACGCCTTTCAATGAAAGACACTGTCATAAAACCTATCGATTTACAGAATCAAATGTTGCCATTAGGTCGAGAAATACAACTATGATTGAGGGTCTGTAGGTATGTCTGTGCTCCAGAGCCTGGAGAGGTGAAAATACTTTGTCCACACATCCACATGTAAATCTTAAACCAGTTTTCCCGAGTTCGCTTCTCACAAGCCCTAGTTAAGAACTGGAGTATTATTGAGGATAATATTTTAGACACTATGTTAGCAAAACTTATTCCTCTCTGGTTATCCATAAGAGGATTTTTCCCTTTCTCATAGACTGCAGCGATCATGATCAGTCAGATGGGATTATATCCAGTTTTCAAACTCCAGCTAAAATCTCATTCAACCTAAAAGCTAAAACTGGACCACCATCCATAAACATCTCAGGGGATAATTTACCCGAGCCTACTACTATTTTAACTAAAAATGCTCGATTTCCGAGGAGAGTATACGTTATTCACAAACCATTGAGATGGTAGTGAATTATTGTACTCAACTGAGTTAAGATATACCACTAGGCATATTTCGTTATTCAAGTTACCGTTTTAACTTTACAATCTAACGACCCTAACAAGCAGTAAATGTACAATTTAAACTGAAATACAACACAACAGTACAAAGAAAAAACATGTGAAGTGATGGTAGAAACAAACAGTAAAATCAATACTGGCGAGCCATAATAGGAATAGTAAGTACTCACCTTCGAAAGAAGTAATAGCGCTCAGTTATTAACAAAATACGAATACGACCATCACCAAACAAGGTACGAAATCGTTCAGCTTCTGAGTCTTCTGTATATCTGAAGAAAAATGTAAAAAACCCTAGCAAAGTAATTTGAAGCTACAGTAATGCAACAGAGACAAATATCAATCACATAGGGTTTGGGCACAAATATGTGCGTTGATCTGAGCTGCAAAATGTCCTATGTCTAGCCCCGACAGTACTTTCTCGATCATCTCACCATACGCGAGCAATGCTTTTAAGGGACCTACGATCAAATACTAGTAAAGGCTATGTTTCATACCCATAAAGTAGGAAAGGGGGAACTCATGAACAGTATAAAAGCCCTTTGCTTGGAAGACGGATATCTTGCCTATGCCACAAGTGATACAAATTGTCAAACCCCAACCAGCCCTTCTGAATCCGAGCCCAGATTTCGCCAGACACCAATCTACCAGACCTGAGACGTCTAAGGTAAGTGAAGTGGCTGGCGCACTCAGGTACTTCAACGAAAATACGAGATGTATAAACCGAATAAAAATATTTGGCAACACATTTATGCGAGGGGATCTCTTTTCAACGAATTTATTATCAAGCTGTACAATCATATATATATATATGAGAATTTTTGTTTTTGTAAAAGTACTAATTCCGTGAGGAAATGTAAACACAGTTAATAAAAAGGTCATAATACTAGATCACATTTCCTCACAGAATTAGTACTTTTACAAAAACAAAAATTCTCATATTTATACGATTGTACAGCTTGATAATAAATTCACTGAAAAGAGATCCCTTAGGTGAACTTCGTGTTTTAATTTTAATGTTTAAATGGGAATTATCTGTCAACATATTTATGCTCGTGCACGCTAATATGTTGAACACCACTTTAAAATAATTAAGACCGTTTCACCGATGATAAAGTTTTCACCTCCTTAAAGTGATAGACTGACGTTTTGTTTTGTTTAGGCTATCTGCTCATTTAACTAAAAGATTCTACTACGTATAAAATTTTTAAATAAATAATGATTGATAGGGTAGCTGTGGTAACAGAAATATGTTTAATCAGCTATAAAATGGCAAATATACTTAAAACATGATCTATACATATGCAAGATGCGAGCTTAGGACGACTTACGTATATGTTGTGAATAATCAAAAACCTTTATTTCAACGGGATCAAGTTTTACCAACTTATAGAGCTGCTACTGTCATGATAATGTAAACTGATGGTTTTGTTTCCAAAATGGCCTACATCAGTATATACTAATCAGACTTTTACAAGGAATCCCATACTTGGACGAAACGGCCGTCCAGTGCTTCCAGGCTTTCAATAGTGGTCTAACATTGATCGGTTCGTGGTCTCAATTAAAACTGAACAATCTCCACAACCTTATACTGATAATAAGTAAACTGACATTTTTCTGCTATACTCTCAGTAGCACTTTTAAAACTGGTTAGATACACGAATAGTTTGATCACTTCTATAAGTTGACTATTAAAAGTGAATCCAAACAAAAGTCCGTTACATATGTACATTTCACTTGAATAGTGTTAACTACATAACACCCACATATTCTGGGACTTGGTAAGTTTACACTGTATCGCAGAGT